TCTGTTTGGTTTACATAGAAGCAACATTTTTCACTGTGATTGCATTGCTACTCCATTGCTGGGCAGTCAGGGTGCTGAGTACAGGGCTTTGGAGTACCATAGAGGCTAAGCTGTGGATTTCTGAGGCTTTTGTTTGTTTTGATGAAAAATGGTGGTTTTATTAAAAGTTTATTTTGTGGTATTGAACTCTTCCTTCTTTACCACTGAGGGATTTAGGATTGCTTTTTAAATTCATAATCTCCCAAATTTGAGTAATGAGACACTTACTGAATAACATTTGGTACTGTGATATTTCAGCAGATTTTCTATGATTTCTTGATGGACATGTTTATGCAGCACAATTTTATGAATAGAGGAGCACAAATTTATAATTTGCCTGGCATTTAGAGTGGAGTACTTAGTCACAGAAAGGAGCCAGGTATCCAAGTTCACATCATCCTGACCGTGTAGGTAGGAAGCCCATTTATACTTTGTTACCACATAAAATAAAAAGACCAGTGTGGTTTAGAGACAAGATTAAGTTGAAACCTGAAATTTTTAAAGTCTGGAGATTTCATGAACTTGGCCACTGATAATGTTAACTTCCAAATGTCTCAATTTTTCATGTGGTCCTGTCAGTCTATGAGAGCAGAACAAGTTGAGAAAAAACCCCGACAGAAGAGACCAGTTGGTTCTGGCAGCTGGCAAACTTGTTTTTGTCACCCAGCCAGATAAATCCAGATTTTGGTCCACTCAAATATAGCCTGTGGTACTGGCCAATCTAACAAGGTAAGCAGCCCATGCTGTACAGGATGGATATGTAAAACATTTGGCGATTTGGCAAACCTCTATGGTAGAGTTATTTTTCAACTCCTTGCCACGTTTGAGGATGCCATTTTCAGCATTTCTTCTGGCTGTGGATACCATACCTTTCTGTCCTTCTATCTTTTGCACTTAGTCTACCAGTTGTTTACAGCTGCAAGAACAAAGAACGGTCCAGATTCTTTTTGTACTAGCTAGATGTTAACACAGCCTACTGTCAGACAAGTAGTTAACATGGCCAGGGTTTGGTAAACTGGTGTAAGGGGTGTTTGGTCTATGTCTGACCTGTTGAAAAAGAAAGCATTAGTAAAAGCAAAACATAGGATGAAAAAAAGCCCATAGTAGAAATCTATGGGAAGTAGAATAGAGATAACGCTCTCTAGTCAGCCTTCTATTAAATGATTTAAAAATGTGAAAAAGTATTTTTAAAAAGTTGGGTTTTTATTTGTTTTTAATATCAAGAAGTCTTTAGGGAAAAGAGGGGGTAGATGAAAGAGAAGTTTCTGATCCGTGATCTTAGGAAAAGCTGTCTATATCATGGTGTTGTCTTCTTTTGGAGCCTGAAACTTGGCCCTAGAAATCCTTATTTTCAGGTCACTTGTAGGGCTTGTCTCCAGTTGTCTTGGGAGTGATGATCTGGGTCTATCTTGGCATGGCTTGCATGAATCCAGGAGAAGTTTTCTTTATTTTGGTGCTAGTGTAGGTGGACAGCCGTACCTATAGGGTCCCTCCAGCTGAAGCAATAGATAGAATATGTTTTCTTCTAAAGAACTTGATATATACCCACTTTCCTGGTCAAAAGGGGTGGCAAAGTTCATTGGTTGGTGGAGGCCATGCCTATTTTACCTGTTGACAATATTCTTCAACTATACTAGTGCTTGTATATAGCATCATATCATTCATTTAGTCCTTGGATGAAAAGTTTAGAGATGCCAGTAGGCTTTGGATGACCAAACATTATTTCAGAAGGGGTCAATCCATCTCTACTATTTGGAATATTCCAGGTCTTTTTTTTTAACTTTTCATTTTTCTTAAGATTATTTATTTATTTGAGAGAGAGAGAGAGAGAAGGAGAGAGAGAGAGAGAGAGAAAGATCGGGGGCGGAGCAGAGGGAAAGGGAGAAGCAGTCTTCCTGTGAGGCAAGGAGCCTGATGCAGGCAGGACTGGATCCCAGGACCCTAGGAACAAGAAACAAACTAAACCATAAAGATACATGTTAGGTATTATCATTTGCCGTGTAGATCATGTCCTTGGTTTGTACTTGGAGGAGAATTAGATGTGATATCTTTATAAGGAAATACATAAACTTGATTATACTACCCACGCGCTTTAAACTGTGTTTAAAGAGGAAAACAAAACTACATTTTTTTTTTTTTCAGGTTAAACACGTCTTTTGGACCAAGAAACAAAATGAAACAAAACGGCAGTAATTTTATCCAGCCACTAGATGACACTGCAGCTTGCGAATGCTCATAACATTGGGGGAATTTGGCGTTCCTTCAGGGTAGAGGAGATTCTTGAAATACAACTTATTTTATTTCTTTCCTTTATTGACGTATAGTTGATGCACAAGGTTACATTAGTTTTGGGTGTACAACATAGTGATTTGACAACTCAATACGTTATGCTCTGCTCACCACAAGTGTAGGTATCATCTGTCACCACACAGTGCTAGCACAATACCATTGACTGCATTCCCTGTGAGGCGCCTTCCATCCTGGTGACTTGTCCATTCCGTAACTGGAAGCCGGTAGCCCCTACTCTCCTTCACCTGTTTTGCCCACCCCACCATCCCCTCTCTTCAGCAACCATCAGTTTGTTTTCTGTATTTATGGGTCTGTTTCAAAGCAAATTAATTGTTCATATTTATGAATGGTCACCAGAAAATAGAGTTGGACTTTAAATAATAAGATTACTACTTTAATGATACCATATTTAGGCTTATTTAAAATATAAATTTTTTCTTATACAGTACCTTGAAACTATAAAGAAACATAAAGAAGAAATGTTATCTTTACTCCTATTCCTCAGGGAAAACCATGGTGTTTACGTTTGTAATTTTCTCTCTTTAAGCATATAAAAACTCAAAGCATATGTATTTCTATTTAATATTTGAAAGGATGGAGCCTTACTGGCTGTATTATTTTGCCTGGCTTAATAATAATAGTGTGCATATTCCCCCATATACCTAAATATTCTCTTTTATTGTTATCTTTCATTGTTGTCATATTATTTCATCATGTGGTAGAATCATACTTACTTAACCAAATCTTTAATTTTGGACCATTAAGTGATTTCCAATTTATCACCAGTAAAAATAACTCTTTAATAAACATTTTTGTGGTTATGTCTTGAACATCAGAGATTATTCCTTGAAAGTCCTCCATCCTCCTCCCAAAATTGTCACATCAAAAGAAACATGGAATCTTTTTAGGGTTTTTGATAAGTATTTAAAAACTGTATTCCAAAGGTTTCTCTCTAGAATTTTATTAGCATTTTAATCTCAGCTATGATAGATTTTCATGTATTAAAATCTAGTCAAAATTATGAAAACTGGAAACAAGATTAGAAAGAAAAATTCTGTATTACTATCACAAAAATTTTGAATCAATTCAATATTCATTGTAGGATCTAATATTTCAATGGCATTCAAGCATTTTAAAAATATTTCTAATTTTATTGAATCCCTATATTTATGTGAAATAACCAGTTGAACTGTTACCTTTTTCAGAGGAGGGAATTGCCATTATATTGTAAAAGCCAAATAAAATACAGGTAACTGGTAGTTACCTTCACTACATATTAACATAATTATCTAAGGTGAATATAGCCTAAAATTCAACATTTTAAAAATTAGCCAAAGCTTGAACATAGGAGCAAATCAAGTGATATATCTGGAATATACTTCCACAGCACACTACACTTTTCCTACTATATACTTCATCACTACCATAATGTAATTGTTTACTTTATTGTTTGTTTTACAAATAGCCCCTTCAAAAAGAAAGACAAGGCTATGTAGAAATACACATATTATGTAAAAATGCTGCTTTATGCCAATACTAGAAATTTAATGACATAATGTTCCCATTTATGACAATCATCACTAAAAGTTAACATGTCACTTTGAGCCAGGTTCTATTTTAAGTTCATTTCCATATATTAACTAATTTAATTTCTACCCAATTTTGAGTAAATTTCTAACTAATGCTAACTAAAACAGCTGGGCAAATAGGGAATGGCAGAGATGAAACACGCAATATTTCTCTTGTTTTCCGGCCTTTAGCGACACTTTCCACTTACACATTTCATAACACATGAATCACAAGACATTGCTTTCTAACGTGACTCAGGAGCACATTGTTGTCATTCATGATAGGATACTAGAGTCTGAAGGCCATTTGTTTCATGTTACAGCTGTGGGAATTGAAGGACATGGAGATGAGGAAACCTCTATATTTTTTATCACTAAGCAATACCTGGAATCAACATTTCTTTTCAATATGCCATACTAATGATAGTAATATAGAGATATCAGAATAGCATTCAGAGAAGCATTTGGAAAAGAATAATGTGAAATATACTTTAGCTTTCAGAGAAGAATATTGTGAAACACATTCATAGAATAATTGTGAAGGGAACCGAATTTTTCTTGACTGAAGTTCTAGAGATTAACGTAGCACCTTGTTTCTTCGTCGTGGATTACTTTGTGTAAATAGCTAAAATAAGTCTGGCACTTCAGAATTGAACAAGATGCTTTCAGAGCATCAGTTATGAGGATCTGTTATTTTTTTTATTGGAAAGAAGATGAGCTTTATAAACACAACCTCTCAAAATGCATCTAGGGGTCTCCTAGTTTCTCTATGCCTCTTTAGTATAAGAGGGGTGAATCATTACAGAAAGGAAGAAAATAGAAGAGTCAAAAATTTTTTAAATGACATATATTCCTCCCAAGTCAATTAGAATATTTACTAGCATCTGCCATGCAGAAAAAAAGTATAGCCCTTTGGAAATACATATGAAAACAATTCAAAAAGCACCAACTGTTTTAAAGATAAGGTTTTAGTATAGATAAGTTTAAAAAATGCTATAGTATTCTGTTTTCTGATTTCTAGTGTGATATGTAATTTTTAGTGTATTTTGAAGGAATGAACACTTCTTAGAAACCATTTTGTTGATTCTTTTATTTTAACTCACATAAAATCAGCTTATAATGGCACTGAATACAAAAGACAGAGAAACACTATTGCACTCAGAAAATACTTCATAAGAAGCATTGCACATGATAGAATTGATTGAAAAAGGTACACATTGATAGTCAGATAAGACTATTATTACTCCGAGTTTGAACAGAAGTTTTCCTGACAGGAATTTACAACATCACATATTGCACATTTTCAAATATTTTTATCTGTTTCACAAATATTCCTTGTATCTTTTGCTTTTGTCTGTATCTCCGTAAAATGCTACATAAAGAAGCACTAAATGTCCATGCTACCAGTTAAACTTTTTAATGTTTACATTCGGTTTTTAATATCACCATTTAACATCTTCAAATAGTGCAAATACACACTCAGTTTTGGTAGTTCAACAATAAATAATACCTTTAAGCCTAGTTATTTTATTATTTCTAAGTTCTATGAAATATAAAGTGCATCTTCTCCTTGGATGTAATGAGCAGTCAACCTGTGACTTTTTCAGCTCCTGGCAGGAGTGTTCCACAATGCAGATATTCCCGGAAATTCTCTTCCTTTTTTCCCATAGTCTTGTTTTGAAGGTTTCCGAAATAAGACATAATTTTTTCACAAAGTCTTTGTGGAAAATATCTGACCATAGAGCGACATCCGTCAACACAAATTTCTTTGAGTTCCATATTATAATAGTCTGTAAGCAAATATGTTTCCTCCTTATTTAGAGGATTTGCTACATATCCAGTGTAAATTATTTTCACACGCTGTACTGCTGACCTCTGTACTATTCATAAATGTACAGTTCTCATATCCAGTAAGGTTGAGCCTGTCAGACAATAAATACATTTAGAATTCTTTTCTGTTCATCATTTCCATTCAGTTACATTAGAATGAACTTTGCAATGGTAGCCTCTGAATGTTTTGCTTAGTAAGTGATCATGAAACAAGTCAGCTGGTCAAGTAACCATAAACTAAGTTGTCGATACTACTATTCAGTAGGTAAGAATGGAAAGAAAGGATATGTGGAAGGAAGATACAAATCTAAGGGAAAGAGTTCCATTTATCTGGTTGGCATACCACCAGAGGAGTAACTCTTGGGTTACTTCTGAGTTAACAAACCCCTGGAGAAACAATTTTCGGAAAGTATACACAATCAATCATCATACATACAATTTTAGAGGGTTTACAGCTCCTGAAGCCAATTTACTTGTATAGTACCATAAGACACATATTAAAAATTTCTTTTCTAGCAACTTGAATTTATTTTCCATATCAGTAATTATCATAAAACTATTTAAATAGCTAGAAATTTATTCAATTCTGAGTTTTCAGGTGGTAAGGTTAACACTAAATTTAAGGATATAAAATATCCTTCAAATGTTAAAATGTAAATCGATTACAGGTAATAAAATTAAAGTCAACATTTCCCATTTTGGGACAAGCTTTCTATTAGGTTCATAGAAGCTTCTAATTTGCTATTAGATATATTATGCTGCATCCCTGTGGGGATGAGAACTGGGAAAGGGTAAAAGGGAATTTTTCTAAAAAATCAGCCTCTCAGGAGAAATATATATGAGATTGGAAATGTTGGATTTTTCTTTTTGCATCATAATAACTATTTCTGGAATATTTCTGAAACTATTATTCACACTAAAATGTGCTGAGATAAAATTACTAGAAGCATTTATTGTATGACTTCCAAGTAGATAAAAAGAAAAAAAATGGCAATATCAAAACCCTTCTTTAAAGAATTTGAAAGAGCATAAGCATACAAAACAGATTGATAAAGCTCTGCTCATCAAGGGCACAACCATCATATACAATAGTGCTTTGAAAGGAAAATGGCTTCCCTGAACTGCCATTCTGGGGAAGATAAAGACACATCTTGAAACTTACCAGTTGCTAAATTCTCTGCCATTTGACCATTTCCATATCTGACCATCTTCCTTTTTCAGACCAATCCAATGTTTAACTCTACCCACATATCGTTTTAAAAAGATCTTGAGGAAAGCACAAAGGAGATGCATGTTAAACAACCCTTCTGGGTGAGTATATAATTAATTATATTATATTATAAATAATTTATATATTAATTATATAAATCAATCCTATTTCTCAGAAGCTGCAGTTTAAGAAATGATAGCTAAGCTGATCACTTTAATAAGCTCTATTTAGGAGCAGTTCCTTTGGATTTTTGGCCTTTGATGTTAAATGATCGGATGAGCACTGGGTGTTATTCTGTATGTTGGTAAATTGAACACCAATAAAAATTAATTTATAAAAAAAATAAACCAGTAAAAGCTGAAAAAAAATAAAAATAAATAAATGATCAAATCAAATTTACAAGATTAAATTGAACCCTGATTGTGACCTCAGACTGATCACATGGCTTTTTGTGACTAAATTTTCCTGCAAGGGAGATAGGCATAATGTCTTAACTCAGAAGGAAGCAGAAAGAAATCACAGATTATCTATATTAAAAAATAGTAATATTTTTATGAAATTGTTTTGGAATACTATCTTACCATGTCCTTTTCAGAATCAATGAACGCAAGAGTAGCACCCTGTTCGTAGCAAAATTTTTGGGCCAGTGTCCAGTTCTTCATTTCAGTAGAAATAAAGTAGCATTTCCTCTGGTATCCAATCCAATCATCAGAGCATGAAGAAACATGGCTATTTGGTGGCACTAGGGACATATCTGGATCTGGACAATTGTATTGGCCCACTGTGAACAGGAAAGTGATTTGTTTTAGTAACAAAAGAAACTAAATACACACAGTGTGCAAATTAGTTCAGGGGATGCTGTGCAGTGTTAGGTGACAATGCCAAGGATGAAATATAAGGAGCAAATTCTGAGAAGAGCAAGAAAGCAGGTTCTCACCTTATCTAATTTCTTGTTGTGCCTAATCATTATTGTTAGGATATAAGAAATAAGAGGGAATTTCTTGGGCCATTATATCAGAAAGAGATGGGGAAATAGAAAATCTTTCAAGTAGTCTTTGGACTAGACAGGGGACAGAGCATTATAAATTCAAATGCAAGCAGTATAACACTATATTGGGAGATAAAGGACAGAATAATTTGCAGGGAAGTAATTCAGAATATGGAAAGATCTCTGGCTGAAGATGTTTTATAAAATCATAAAATTTCATGTTTTTAAACACAAATATATCTTGGTATTGCTGTATGTTTTGAAAAACATATCATAATCAACTCTTTGGGAGATTCTAGATATATTTTAAATTATTCATAACCACCATTTGTGGCCTTGGGGATAAAAGACAAAAGACTAATCAAATCCTGATTAATCTATAGCTTAGATAATATTTTTTTCCTGTTAACAATGAATGTGAAGCCCACATTTTTCCCCTAACTAAATGATTATTTATTTAGAATCCAAATCAGCCCCTTTCATTTCAGAGTATAAAATCTGCTCAAATGTAATTTTCTTCTACAATAATTTATAAAACACAGACATTTTCAATACTTGTAAAGAAGCGCTGGAGAATTCAGAAAGTACTGCATTGATCATTTAAGGAATATGGAATTATAGTTAGTATTTTTAAAGAAATCAACCATGTATAAAAATTGGGATTATTCAAAATTAATCAGAATTTCTCACTAATTAGACCAAGTAATCCCTGTTGATTTCAGCTGGACATGAATGCTAACAGTAGAGACTAAATGAACTCATGAAGTACAGACTCACCTGATAAAGCAATGAGAGCTATGATTAAAACAGTGATGAGGACCACATTCACAACAGCACATGGGATAGGAACTTGAAGGGATCCTTCATGCTGTGTTGCAAAATGAGGGCTGGCAGCCTGATCTGAAGAGAGAAAGTTGATGATGAATTCAAGCCGACTGTAGAAGTAAGAAAGAGACATTCGATATTCTTCTGAGGCATTTACACTTTAATGCCTCCTTATGTTCTTATATTAAATTTATGTTAATTGCCCCCAAGTATTGAGTGAATTAAGATAGTGAAAACAATCCAGAAATAATAATGAGATCATAAAATATCTCCTCAATCCATGCACTTAGCAGCTACAAAAATTCTAAGTATATAATAATTTTATTGTTTGAATCACAAGTACATTTATTAAATATCTGATTATCCTAGAAGACATATAAAATGGGACAACCTAAGCACAATCCTTTAAGCACTCTGTAGTAAGAGAGATGACATATAGGCAATAGATGCGGATAATGAATTAAAAAATACTGAATTGATATATAAATAGCTACAACTAGCATGACAGAAAATTTTTAAAAAGATTGATTTTTTTTGGGTAAAGTTGTTACAGATATGAAGCAACTGAAATTTTCATATACTACTCATGGGAGAGTAAAATAGAAAAATAATTTGGAAAAGCCTTTTTTATACAATTAAATATATACCTATCCTATGTTCCAGCAATTTGACTTGTATAAAACAAGAATGTTCATAGCAGATTTATTCTTAAGACACAAATCTTAGACATAACCCACATATCCACCAACAAGAATAAGGACAAATTATGGTAATCTGAACACTGTTTAGCAATTAAAAAAACTAATAAATGCAACAAAATGCATGAATCTCAAAAAAAAAGTTGAGTAAAGAAAATGCAGCTACACTATATGCTATATATTTCCATTTATATGACATTCAAGAATAGCCGAAAAATAAGTGAAATTCGTCAGACTGAGAAAGGCAAATAAATACCATATGATTTCATTCACATGTGGAATCTAAAAACAAAAACAATGAAGGAACAAACAACAAACAGAATCAGACCTACAAATACAGAGAACAAAATGATTGTTAACACAGGGGAGGAGGATGGGAGTATGGGTGAAGGGGGATGGAAGATACAGGCTTCCCGTTACGGAATGAATAAATCACAGGGATGAAAGGCATTGCATAGGGATTATAGTCAGTGATACTATATTAGTGTTGTAAGATGACAGTAGTGACACTTGCGGTGAGCATAGCATAACATAAAGGGATGTAGCATTTTATGTTGTGCACCTGAAAATATTGTAACTATATGTGTTAACAATACTCAAAAAAAAGAAAGAATATTTGAACTAAACTATGGTGACAGAAATCAGAAAAGTAATTGCTTTTAAGTGTGTACGAAAAGTAATTTGACCAGAAAGAAACACAGGGAACTTTCAAAATTTCAAATGTTGATTGGAGTTCTTATAATTCATTAAACTGCATACTTATGATTTATGCATCCATTATATGTAAATTATACCTCAATTAAAAATGATATATGAATGAAAAGTTAAATATTTGAATTTTTAAAGAGAAGTTAAAATGATAGAAGAAATATAACAATATTAAACAACAAATGTTAGGCAAAAGTTATTTCATTTACCTTCCATATAATGCTGAAACAAAGTAAAAATTTGATTTCACCAATAAGAAATATTTTTTGTGGAATATGAATATGATGTGAATGATGATTCTTAGTTTATAAAAAACTAGAAGAATATCTGTTTTAGAATACAAATAAATAATGGTGAAGGAGAGAAGGGGATTTTGTGACCAGTCTGAATTTGATTTTTGTTAGGATGAGCTCCCAAGATTTTTAAAAATTTGTCCTCACAAGACATATATAGTTCCTTATTATGTCCTCAAAAATTGAAATGTAAAAAGCCATGAATGATATTAGGATTTACCATGCAAAATGGCCTCAAATGCAAACATATTCTTGTGTTTCTGTTCCTTGAAACATTTCTCTAAAGTTAAACTGAACAAAGAGAGCACAAAAAATTGCACTGTTTACTGGTTATCAAATCAGTTTTTGCTTCTAGGAATTGTTTTTCCCAGCCTAGGTCTGCATTCCGGTTTTGCAAGAGAAGACTTGACTTTGCTTCTGGACAGTTCTTTTTCTTGCAGCTTCTCAAAGCAAATCTTCCTTTTCTCACCAGTATACAACTATCACCGGAAGCAGCCCTTTGTAGATAGTGTAGCAAGTTCAGAGCTGTCTGTCTAGTTTCACTTCTCTCCATGTGAGGGTCAATCATGCTGCTTAGACTCAGTGCAGTACCAGTTCTATTTCCTCAGCAAACACTAACTCATCCAGATAGTTCATGGACTCAGAGCCACCTCAGTTTATTGGTTTACCCAGGGGGCAAACTGGAGATGATTCTCAGACTGTACATTTGTTTTCCATTAGTGAGGGCTATTGTTACTCACAGTTTGAAATATCACCTAGGTGACAAAACACTCCCCCAACAGCATACTTCCGCTCTGATTATGGGCCTTGTTCATTACTGAAGAAACTGAAAATAAATCCACAATTATATATTGAGTCATCCAAAGGTGATGCCCAAGGATTGTTTATACTAATAAAGCAACCACAAGGGCAGCATAAACTAAACATTCAACAGAATATTGGATGAGCTCAGAAAAAGTTGAGGATTACTGAATTAGGTCCTTCTTCTTTTAACTATGCTTTTTACTTATTGAGTAGTTTTATTATTATATCCATTTCTTCTTTTCAGCAGCTCAACTGGGCCATAGAAGTATGGTTACCTAGCTACCAGAAATCTGTGCGGCTTGCACTTGTTATCCACACTAGATTTTGTGTTCTTAGGTGAAAGATGGGTTTATCAGAAAAGATTGATGTCTTTTTAGCATAAACCAGTCTAATGGAAAGACACTCAGAAAACAATTCCTTCCTCCAGATTGTTCAGCTCTGCTGTTCATAAATATCCCTTTATCACTGGATAACTTTGCTTATAAGTAAACTGTCTCTCCTATATGCTAGTGTTTTGGAATACCTCAATTAGAGAAGAAGATTAATAAATGGAACAAATCAAGAAAACCTCACAGAAGCACAGTATAGGAAAAACAATGGGAGCATTCAAGTAATAGGAAATAAGTCTGTGGACAGAATAGAAGAGAGAAAAGGTAAATAGCTAAGATGATCATATTTTGATGAATTTTGATGAAAACAAAAGAAAGGAAGAACCATGTATGATTCTCGTAGAATTTGAAGCCAGTGATTTAAAGGGTGAAATGCAATGATGAAATGAAAAGTTCCATGGAGAGTACAGAAGCAGAAGTTTGTACTTTCAATAATTTTTCATGACATTCTCCTCAGAAATTACCTCTGAACTGGTAAATGTTCAGATATGTGTATGGCTATTCTCTCAGAAATTGGAAGCAATTTTCATTCTCGGCAACTGGAGGATGCTGTCATGAGAACACAAGAAGAAGCAAACAGAAAGCATTCAGAGACACAAGGTGAAGGCAGTAAAGAATGTAATTGGTTATGGGGAAAACAGAATTGTTATAAAAAGAGGCAAATGCTTTCTGGAGCATGTACGGATGGATACGGAAAATGGCGGCGAATGCACTGGGCCAGTGCAGGGAGTTTTCTAATTAAATCTGAAGAATTGATGTGATATAAACTGAAACAAAGAAAGAGATCGCTAAAGATCTTCAGAAATCCATATTTGTGGCTTCCTCTCATGTCTCAGGTATCCTATCTTTTCATAGATAGGTGTTTACTTATCCCCATATTCTCCTTTACCTGCACTAAAGTAAAATGTAATCAAGTGTTTCTAAAGACAAAGACTTATTTTTTAAACTACTGTTATATATCAGATGATAGATAGATAGAAGACAGATAGTTGAAAGAGAAAGAGAGAGAGAGTGGAGCAGGGCGGCGGGGGTGCGGGGGAGAGCGCTTTGTTACCAGTATATAACAAATAAGGTCTGACTTACTTTGTTGTCCTCTCTCCGGATGCAAGGAGCTACTCTCTGTTATGCAACCATCTTCAGAATTCATCATTGTTCCAGTCAAGATTCCCTGGTTAATCCCAGGTCAAGCCAATCTACAGCAAAAGTCTCTGCTGGAGCTCTTGTTCAGTCTCTGACTCTGGGAGATATCTCAGCATTTATATTCAGTTATATTGTCTCCACCCCCTTCCTCTTGCCTCCTAACCACTCAACTACATCAGTTCTCTTTAATGTATGCTCCATCGGCCCGATTTACAATGTGTTATTGTGGTAAGCTGCGGGTTTTCCCTGTTGTCTGAAATGTGCTTTCTCACAACTGTACATGTAGAATGAAGAGACAAGCTGGATTTTCCCAGAATCTGAGACATCTATATCTAAATTTGTGAAAAACACAAATAGTTTAGAAGGCAGCATAATTACATAAAGAATTAAAAGTTAAGGATTCCTATCTTTGAGGTGTAAGTAATTGGAGAATAATATTTCCCTTGAAATCTCACTCATTTTTAAAATCATCAACTAATATTTATTGAGCATACACTGTGGACATGACACTGCTTGGTGCTAGAGGACTTTTTTAAAAAGATTTTTATTTGTATATTTGAGAGAGAGAGAGAAAGAGAGAGAGTGAAGAGGAGGAGAGGGAGAAGCAGGATCCCAGCTGAGCAGGGACACCCCCCCCATCTAGGGCTCAGTCCCAGGAGTCTGAGATCATGACCTGAGCAGAAGTAAGACACTTAACTAACTAAGCCAACCGGGTGCCCCAAGGGGCTAGAAGATTTATTGTTAAACAGGAATTTTAAGATCTCTGTCCTCATGAATCTTTCTCCATTCTGGAAGAATTTTACTTAGGAATCTAAAAATTGGCTGCCAGAAGGGTATCATTCAACATTTCCCTGGGGAGTAGTTCTTTTAAGGTATCATTTAGCACATACTTGCTTCAAGGAAATAGAAACCTTGTGGTCTGGAACTTCCTTTCTATGTTCTAAAATTGTTTATCTTAAATTATCTGTTTCATTTATCTCCTGTCAATTTTTTGGTCATATTTTAGTGTCATTTAGATTTCCCTTATTTCCTCTAATGTTTTATTTACTCTAAATTTCCCTTATATTAGATATTGATTTTTCTGTGTCTCTGAGGTGTCAGATATTTGGAGTATGGTTATTATAAAAAATATATCACCATGGTATCAATACTATCCCGCTGAGCTATGAAGGCAGAATTTCTGTGTGTGGTGATTTAAAGAGGGGAGTGAAACACCACTCTAGTTACCCATCTTGCTGCCAGAATTTTTATCATTAATATCACTTTTATAGAGACAACGTGCTTTCAGAGTAAAGCCTTTGTGGAAGTGTTATCTCTAGGTGGGTTGAGAACTATAATCTGCTGTAGCTTAGTTGGGCCATCATATTTACTTATTAAGTTCAGACATGAAGAGGGATATGTTGGTCTTAAGGGCTCTCTTCACTTCTGTTCCATTTTTTTCAGTCATTTTTCCTGTTTTCCACATAACAGCAAAAGGGTTGCTTTATAATTACATCATATCACTTTGGTGAGATGTTCATCTCCTCCCCCTTAAAGATTTCTTATCAAAATTACCATAAAATCCAGAGACCTTCTGATAGTTGAGAAGGTCCGTGATCTGGCCCCTAGCTGCCTCTTCTGCCATTTTCCCTATTAGTCACTATCCTCTCCAGTGATAACCTCTGCTATATCACAAAAATGTCAAGCTTACTCCCACTACAGAATCTTTGCATTTTCTCTAAAATGCTCTTCTTCCATCTACTTGCAAGTCTTGCTCTCACTTTATTCACTTCAACTCATTTTATTCAGTATTCAACTGTGATCTACCCAGAAAGGTCTTCACTAACCTTCTATGTGTAAACAGAACCTCATGATCTATGCCACCGTATGCCTTTGTCTTTCTTTATATCATTTGGTGATATCTAATATCATACCATTGTTCATCATCTACTTTCCTTACTAGACTTTAAGCTGTGTGGGGGCAAGAACTTCTTCTGGCTTGTCTCTTCTGTGTTTTGAACACCTGATGTAGTAACTGGAATTTAGTAAGTACTCAATACAGACAGTACATACTTGTTAAATGCATGAATAAATAAATATGAACTAGTGAAAGAATATGTATGAAAAACAGAAAAGTTCTAAGATATAGAGTACTGCTCAAGGATGTGTGTGGGATTGTAGTCTGCCCCTGGATAGCAAATGCATATTTGAATATTGCAGATGAGTGATGGAAGGGTCAAGTTGAGTACTTAAATAGCTGATACTTTTGCTAGTTTCTTTGGAAGAAAGCAACTGAGATCAGATCTCTGTTTATTCTTTTAAACTTGGGAGATCTGGATTAATGTCCACACTCTGATACTAATTACACAGATTATATTGTGAAAAATGAATGGGATTGAGACAGTGTAGGAAAAGCAAAAGGGACTTAATTCCTATAAAGCCACTGGTCTGAAGCAAAAGTCTGAGATTAAAAGCTTCCGTACTCTTAGCGACAAATACCTCCTTCTGGGAAAACAAATAAATGAGAGATAATAGCTGTTAGGGATTAATGGTTGGGCAAAATTAGAAGTAACAATTTAAAGTCTACTTGCACAAGTATTTCTACCTTCCAGGAACCCTAGAAGAATGTTGACCATGCCATACTGTGATTGTCTCATGTCCACTGAAAAAGTAATGACCACAAGATAACGACCATTGGACTAAACGGATGCTTCCCCTCTCCCAGCCCCTCAACCTTTGGAAGAGAGCCTTTATAAGCCTCACACACTACCCCTTTGGGAAGTGACATTCCTCCTTCTTGTTGCTCCCTTGTATACACGCTATCTCTAATAGACTCTACATGCTTTCTTTGTCTGGAGTTCAGTGCTCATTTCTATGACCTTGAGACTCAAGAACCTGGTCCTGGGGTATGGTAACAGGATAATAAAATAGGTATAAATCTGCAACAGTATTTGAACTTTTCCAAGTCTGTGGGGTAGAAAGAGAAAGAAAATATCTTTACACACACTGGTAATCCTTGCCATGTGTGTTCTCCCCATTCACAGCAGTTTTCAACAGCTCATTGGACTACTATAGAAATCATGGTCCAGTTTTACAGCTTACTAATGTGACTTTTCCCTTTTGATGACTCTTGTATTACTGTGAAAATCTAACTTGCTTAGTTGGACACCAACCATTTTTGAAATTTGAATATTCCAGAACAGTTTGCCTGGTTAGCATTATTAAAAAAAGTATAGATTTTACAGATAAATAGTCATCTCTCACAATTCTCCCTCTAACTCCCTGTAAGTCAGCTACACTAACCTTTTTCTGTTCCCTGAAAAATTTAAGCTTATCTTAATTTTATGGAGTGTGTCCTTGCTCTTGTTCTCTATGCTCTCAGATTTTTCATGTTTGACACTTTCTTTTCTTTTCCTTTTTTTAAAGATTTTATTTATTTATTCATGAGAGACACAGAGAGAAAGAGGCAGATACATAGGCAGAGGGAGAAACAGGCTCTGTGCAGGAGCTGATGTGGGACTCGATCCCAGGACCCTGGGATCATGACCTGAGCCAAAGGCAGATGCTCAACCACTGAGCCACGCAGGTGCCCTGACACTTTCTTCTTATTCATATTACCTCACATGTCATCTTCTCAATTGGACCTTCCTCAATCCCCTATTTAAATTATCTCCAATTTGCCACAATTTATTACCTCACTCTCTTCTTTTCTTAAACATATTCGCATCTGAAATTTTGTAGCTCATTAGATGTATGTAAATGTATATGTAAGTAGTTTAAAAAATAATCATTATTGGGGCCTTTGGATAGCTTAGTTGGTTAAGGTTAAATGTCTGACTATTGATTTTGGTTCAGATCATAGTCTCAGGGTCGGGAGATGGAGCCCCCCATCGGGCTCCATGCCCAGTGGGAAGCCTGTTTAAGATTCTCTCCTTCTCCCTCTGCCCCTCTCTGCTCACATTCTCTCTCTCTCAAAAAATCATCATTATTATTATTTATTTCCCTTACTAGAAAGTAACATCTTTAAGATCAGGAAATGGCCAACTTATTCAACAATGAGTCTCTAGTATATAATAGTGCCCAAAACATAGGAGTTCAATAAATATTTATAGGTTAGATACATGACAGAATGTCTGTGGATATCAGCTCAAGTGTTTGTTAACTGTGCCACTTTGGGAAACATACACACCTCCACTGAGCTTTGGCTTTGTTATCTGTAAATTAAAAATATTAGCATCTAACTTATAAGGTTTTGTGAAGAAAATATTATAAACTAGAAAATTAGCTACTATGGTGTTTGGTATATATTGGGCATTTAATGAGATATAAAAGAATCAGTTTGACATAAGTCATAAAAAAGGAAAGTTTTTCATTTGATGTCAGAAGTAAAACTGAGAAGTTACAGCATTCTTGCTGATATGATGTTATGCGACTCTTGGATGCAGACAGAGGAGACTGCCATCTCTTAGGTCCCCCTCTGGCAGCACTCATGACACTAAGACGTTTCCCTATGCACTCAAGTTTTCTTGCTTCTTCAGCCATAATCAAGAGAGTGAATATTATGTGTATACATTTACATATGTTTATATTTATAAACACATGCATATATATGTGACATGTATTATATATGCTATGTATGTAATATTTATTATATACACAGGCCATTGGGTACAGAAAATGGTAACAAGATCTTATCTTTAGAAAATAAATATCTGGTAGTGCCTTGATGGCACAGTCAGTTAAGTGTCCAACTCTTGATTTAGGCTCCAGCCATGATCTCAGGGGTCTTGAAATCCAGCCTTGTGTGGCACTCCATGCTCAGCACGGATTCTGCTTGAGATTCTCTCTCTTCCTCTGCCCCTCCTACTCATGTTCTCTCTCTCTCTCAAATAAATACATAAATCTTTTTTAAACAAGAAAAGAAATATCTGTAAACATTATGACATTAATCGAAATCTGTTGCCTATTTCTGAAATCATTTTTCTCTGTTTTTATGAGAGCAGCGAAAGTATTCTGTTGAAATCAACATTTGTATTGGTTGGAGTTGGCAGCTTCCACAAACATAAGAACCGGTGAAATTACCATGAACATGTCATCAGCA